CAAGATGAGAATGATTGGAACGGAGAACAAGGAGTCTTGGATAAGAAAGATTTTACAATCATTTTAATGACAAATTTTCAAGTAGAACAATTAAAAAAATTCGGCCACAATAAAATTTGTATAGATGGTACTCATGGCACAAATGCATATGATATTCAGTTATATACTATTGTAACTGTTGATGAATTTGGATCAGGTTGTYCAGTTGCGTTCTGTTTGTCAAATCGATCTGATGAGATAATTTTCCAATTATATTTCAATATAATTAAGCATAAAGWAGGTGTTATTAACTGCAATGTATTTATGACTGATGATGCTCCAGCGTTCTATAATGCATGGGTTGTTGTTATGGGATCYGTTGAACACAGACTATTGTGTACATGGCATGTAGACAAAAACTGGAGACAAAATCTATGTAAAATCAGTGGAGGACCCAAAAAGAAAGCATTAGTTTACAAATCATTAAGAATCCTTTTACAAACCACATCTATAGAACAATTTTATAGTTACCTCGAAAATTTCTTACGAGATTTGAAGGATGATGATACTAATAGGTTTGGAATGTACTTTGAGAAATATTATTCAAGGCGGCCAGAATGTTGGGCTTATTGTTTTAGGTTGAGGCTTGGGATAAATACGAATATGTATTTGGAATCGTTTCACAAGATATTGAAGCATATATATTTGGAAGGGAAAAGAGTGAAACGTTTAGATAAAACTATTCATGCTCTCATGAAATTTTCTAGAGATAGTCTTTACAAGCGATTGATCAAATTATCAAAATATGTCCCAACTGAAAAAGTTCAAAAAGTCCGCCWAAGTCATAACATCAGTGAAACAATCGAACTGGAACAAATTAAAATTTTGGAAAATGAGAAAGGGTACATAATACACTCATTATCAAATCCTTCCCAACAGTATTATATCATGAAAGTTGGTGAAACGTGTACACAAACGGCATGTTTAAAATGTGAAAAATGCAAAATTTGCATTCATACTTACCATTGTTCTTGTATTGACAATGTCATCAAAGCAAATATTTGTAAGCATATACATGCTTGTGCTCGTAATTTCTATAAACATTTGGAWGACAATAATAKTAWTYATAAAGAAACAAATCTTGAAGAACAAAAAATCTTATTTGATATGAACACAACTTATACAAATCACTACAAAATTGATCAAAATCTGAAAATAAAACATCAAGCAGAAATTATTTTGGGTCTAAMTGGAACAAATTCATTAAGTGATCAAAATAGAATACAGATAGAAAAAAAATTAAGTGAAGTTATTACACTCATGAATGAAGGAGAAAAAATAAAACTTACGCCAGTTGAARATATCAATGTWACAAAAAAAATTGATAATCAGATTCGGCTCTACTCAACTAAAAAAAAAAGCTGTCATAAAACTCAAATCTCAAAATCTTCCATAAATGAAACTAATGCAATAGTATCTGGATTTGAAGATGTTAATAGTGAGAGTGCTCATGTTCACTGTGCATTTGATCATTCATATGATACAATTTAAACAATACTAATAAAATATATTGATACTTAATAGGTGTACTTATACATAAATTATGATTTTCGGATTTGACTGTGGTATTATTAT